GAGTGGGCATATTAATACTCAGAGAGTTAATAGCCTCTTTGCCATTGCAAGAACAAAAAACCCTCCACAGTTTCCAACAAAGGTCAGACATTAGCAGTCGGTCAGCAAGGGAATTCCTGCTTTGGCATCAGCTCGGCTGCTCTTTCCATCTGCTCTGTTTCTTGACTGATGCTTAAATATTCTCAGACAACGAGGGGGAGTTGGTACTAGTTGAATTTAGTGGGACAAACAGGATGTTTTGTTTATCCACTTCTGTAAGGCAAGCGAACGAGTATTCATACTAGTTTTCATTCAAGGCCCTGACTTCACACTTTCACATGCTCACGCTGGGAAACAACCCAATTCAATCACAGTCTTTTACCCTGAGATTCACAGAAGCAATTGAGGGTCAAAATGTAATACAGGACTGAAAGGCCCTAGTGGTTTATTTGACGCTCCAGCCCAGCGGTCATCAGGTCAGCAATCATCTCTGCTGGTAAAAAAAGACCCTGAAAAAGGTTTGGAGACTTGCTGAGTAGTAGGAATGATGAGTAAGCCCCGATAAGCCTCGGCTGCCCCTCCTTGGCCTCGCAGTAATACTCCACCAGGGTTTTGGTTGGCTTTACACAGGCTTAGGTGCCAGTGGGTGGGTTTTAAATAATGCAAGGGCTGAGAAACTCCGAGATCTCTTAATCTTAATGTGCAAACAACCAAACTTCTTCTGCAACTCTGCTGTTGGAAGAATACACTGCTGGTGTTAGCAGAAGCAGAAAAAAATTATTATTTTTCATGAAAAGATGCACTTTAATCCCTCTGGATACATTTCACCTGTTCCATCTGTTGTTTACCGATTTAGCTGTATCTCTCTAACAATTACATTTCTGGGTAAATGAGAGTTCATGTCTCCCCTCACAGGAGGAGTTTGTTTGTGAGCCACCAATGATAACGCGCCACACCTCCAAGATGTTTGTAATGGAGGGTCAGGAAGTCAGCCTGCGATGCAAGTCCATCGGTGACCCTGAGCCGTCAACACACTGGGTCAGTCCAGATGGGAAGTTGATTGGAAACACATCGAGAACAATCTGCTATGAGAATGGTTCCCTTGACATTCTCAAGGCCTCCGTCAAGGTAGAGAAGTACTTTCATTTTCAAGGAATATAGATATGCAAAGGTTTATTATAAATGTGCTAGATTAATGCTGCATCAGGAAGTTTAACTGGCTCTGGTGCCTTCATTTTGCAGAATAGTAAATGTAAAATTGGTTTGATACAAGATTGTCACTAAACAAGCTATTTTTGTTCAAGCCTGTTAAAAAACAAACAAATCGTGGTTTGTAAATTTAAATTTGTATGATGTGCATTTTGGTACACACATATATCAGACAGCTTTTACTAAAACAACCTATTTTGATTAATTTATTGAAGAAAACGTACATTACTATATGAAAACAAAATAACTCTAAAAATAATGTTCATTATCATTTGGATTTATGGGGTTGATAATTTGGATAAATGTTGGCTTTTCTCTTATCTTTCTAAATGATTTCTAGGATTCTGGAAAGTTCACCTGTATAGCGTCCAATGCTGCCGGGGAGGCCACTGCTCCTGTCGAGTTAGTCGTGAACCCTTCTCCACACTTTGACCCCAAGCTGGACCCTGACCCGGGGCCTTCAGACATCCCTACGTCCATCAAATCCAATATCAGCGGAGGCCAGGCTCGCTCTGACCAGCACAGGGTCAGCGTGTCGGATCTGACGTCCAGCTCTGCCACCATTAGATGGCCTCCACAGAACCACATACCAGGAGTGCGCATGTACCAGATCCAGTACAACAGTTCCACAGATGATATACTCATATACAGGTAAGAAAAAGATAGCGGATGGGTGGATGATGGGTGGATGGATGGAAGGGTGGATGGATGATGGGTGGGTGGATGGGTGGATGGATGGATGGGTGGGTGGATGGATGGATGGATGAGTGGGTGGATGGATGGATGGATGATGGCTGGGTGGATGGATGGATGGATGGGTGGATGGATGGATGGATGGAAGGGTGGATGGATGATGGCTGGGTGGATGGATAGATGGAAGGGTGGATAGATGGATGGGTGGATGATGGGTGGGTGGATGGATGGATGGATGG